ATTTTTTCAGCCCCGTTGGTGGGTTTTTCCCCTGGTTTTCCCCCCGGGGGGGGGGGGGGGGGGGGCGGGTAACTGCTATCCGCGCCGGCTTCGTGTGTGTTACGCGAGGCACGTCTGTGTTTTCTCTCTGAGCGCCCAAAGAGGTGAGGTTCTTGGGGTGTACATTGATCGTGCGTGGAGCCGAACCGCGGACTAGACCATTGGTAGACTCGTGTGCACGGCGTCGGTCGATCGGTCGTGGAATTGGCCTTCTGTTGCTGTGTCGTTACGCGTTGGGTTATTCGTGTTGCGGAACTGGGCTGTGATGTGTTGCACGCCCTCGCCGCCGCGGCCGCCGCCGCTCTCATCATTGGACGTGCGGGCGGGCGCATTCACATGGGATCACTTCCTCTCCCCTCTCCTTTCTTGTCTTCTTCCTCTTTTGTTTGTCCCCCCTTGCTTTCAACTCGTTTTTCTCCCCGCCGCCGATGTCCGTGTGTCTCCTTCTCCACCCCCCTCGTCCTACTTCGTGTGGCGACCTTCGCTGCTTGCCATGTTGCTAAATTTTGGAACCAACAGACGCCAGGCAGGGACGGGGAGCGCAGGGCCGCCGTGCTGCGAGAGTTCGGGTCCCGCAACACCGCCTCGTCGGGAGAACTCCTGGCGGGATTCTTCCGCTACTTCGCTCTCGAGCTGGACTGCAGGACCAGCGTGGTGAGCTATTAGATGCAATACACGACCAGGCGGTGGCATGGTGGTGGTGTGTGACGACATACCGTGCGGTGTGAGCTTTTCGCTGTTGATAGTTTATTTTTCTCTTAACGTGGCAGTTTTTTTCACGAGGTCTATGTATGTGTTGATGTTTTTTGTCGCTGCAGTGAGACTTTTCTAGGGGCATTTTTTTTTGTTTTCGAGGTCCTTGCCGTATCCCCACTGTTCTTCGTTTACTATACCATTTGGTTTCGGGCTTTCTCTCGTTCCCCATCTCTCTCATCTTCTACCATCACCCCCCCCCCCCCCCCCCCGGGTTGAAAGAGGCAATGCCTATTGCCAC